TAATTTTTCCCAAAGGCCACTCCGGTTGCAAGTTGAAACTAACCAGTGGCGAAGTTACCGGAGGCAAGTCTGTATCTCGGAGTTTGAGCTGTTTGAACGCGTCGTAATACATGATCTCGACCGAGCTTCCCTGGTCGATCAAGATGCGCTTGACATCGAATTCCTTGACGCGGAGTGTGACCACTAAGGCATCGTTGTGCGGCGTCTGAATGCGCTCTAAGTCCCTTGTAGAGAAACTGATCACGTCTTTCTCGTCGGTCTTCCCCCTCTTGATCACGGGCTGGACCGACAAAACTTCTCTCATGTGTTCTGCCTTCTTGATCATACCTCGGAGCTCGCATACACGCGCTGGCTCCACTATGCTGTGGATGACATTAACAACTCCTTGTGGGGGCGCCTCCTGGTCATCCGGTCCACACGGGTCAACCGGGGCTTGATGTGCGGCCTTCACACCCCCATCAATGTAAAGGTCCAAGTGTCCGGCTGCGACTAGCTCCTCCAAGTGTTGCTTCAGAGGCAAATAGTCCTCTATCCGGTGTCTGCGCTCCCGTTGGAATGTGCAGCGGCACCGCGGATTGACGCCTTTTTGCACATCGCCTAACTTAGCAGGAAACCGGACATAATCCTCATCACGGATTTCACTAAGTATGCGATAGATTAGAATCTTAAAGACCGTGGTGACGCTCGTCCGAGCTTTCAATCTTCTGTTTGCATCAGCTACGTCGTCGGGGGGGTATTCATCTCGGTCATTCCACCGACCCCTACCTCGGTTTCGATGATTTGAACCTCGGTTAGATTCCTCGACGCGATCATTTGAACAGTTGGTCTCCTGTCCGACCGCGTGCACCTTGCCAGCCGACTTCTTGTCTATTGCTACTGGAGTTGCCTTCGCAGTAGATGCTGCCGCATCATCTTCTACTCGGATGTGCTCGTTGATGCGTTGCATTAGTTGGCCCATGGATGTCGGTTGGTACATGGTAAGCGAGTCCCGCAGTCTATGTCCGACCTGGAGACCACGTTTATATTGTGTGATTTCCAGGTTGACCGGGCAATCCAAGATCTCATTGAAGGTTTCCCAGTGTCTGGAGTTGTATGCCTTGAGTGTGTCGCTCGGCTCCATCTTGACACTAAGAAGGCGGTCAACTTCCTTTGGCATTCTGGTGTTGGTTTTGAAACGCATCACAAAGGCTTCCGCCAACTGCTGCCATCTTTTGATGCTCCCCTCCGGCAGCCTCTCAAACCATTTCAAGCCCAGCTCGCCCAAACTTGACGGGAAGATAAGGCACATACGAGCGTCATTCCGCCTATGTCCGGCCATGACCTGTCGGAAGTGGCTTATATGCATGTATGGATCGGTCTTTCCATCGTAGAGCGTGAACTTTGACTGGTGGAAGCCCGCGGGAAGCGGTGTTGTTTCTATCTCCAGGGAGAAAGAACTGGCGCTCAGCCTCGCCAAATCCATGTCTGGAGGAGGAGGCACAGCAAGGCGGGGTGGAGGCATTACGACCTCTTCATTGGCGCGACCCCCATAAGATAACCACTAGAATGCCGGCACCCTCTAAGTCTCCCGCCGGCGAGCCCGCTCCTTCAAGAATACCCGCAAATCCTCTCAACGAGCGGGGTAGGAGTACCTTGACGTCGTCGCCGGACGTGAGGGTTGGTAAGTGCCATCATGCGCGCTAGACTTCTCTATGGGCGCGTCAGAATCACCAACCTTGTAACTTCTGGTGATTGAGAGGGATGGAGTTTTCCGCTGGCTCTGACTGCCTGAACGGCGGGGTTAGGTGCGCTCACTGTGGTCTCCCACTCCAGCTACACCCTTCCCTTTGACATGCCGCTTAAGATCCTCCATCTCCGCCGCCATTCTCCAGATGACGACGTCTTGGTCCCTTAGCTTGTGTTCTAGACGTCTGGCGTGGGATTCTTTCTACCGCTGGTGATCATCTGGACTCCGAGAATGACCAAAGCTTCTTCTGCGCTTATCCCGCGTGTTTCTCGAATGTTCTCATGGAGAAGTCTCCAGGTCCGCCATCGGAGGAATGGCGGGGTGTCCGTCTCTCCGTCTGGCTGACTTCGGGGTAACTCCGTCGATGGCGGGCAACAAAATCTCTTCGTTGTTCGCCATGGACGGCGATCAGATGAGCTGGGAAGACAAGGTTTTGTCTATCAAGTTCCCACAAACGACGCTAATTATACGGGGAGCAAATATTCCGGCGAGCCTGCACTCCTTTATTCCAAGCTCCCTGTCTGTCCGATTGACCTATGAACACAACGGCGGTGAGCTACCCGGCGGTGTGTGGCCGAAAAACCCCTCCGACGGTCAAGTTAGCACACACTCGGGGATAGAGAGAGAGAGAGAGGAAAGAGTTGAATGTCTAAGTATATCTCACCAAATGATCATCTGCCAAAGCATGGGGGGCGCAGTCACGCTTATATACTTTCTGCGCTCCAAATCTACTCCTATTAGTCTCTCGACACGTGGTGCTGCTATCCCATCTGTCAGCACAAATCCAGCAATCATCACCTAACCAAACTGTCAGGATATCTTGGCGGGGCCTGGCAGACCGGTAGAATCACCTCGGCCTCACCCGGCCTTGCTGTGCCGCATGCCCGAATGCTTACTAGCCGAGCTCCATACTGACCGAGCTCAGCTGCATTCCGACAGAGTCGAGCTCAAAACAGGTCACGAGGGTAAAACAAAGGCCTTCCTGCCGAGCAACGCAAGTAGCACGGTTTCCACCTGTGCAAGTTCAAGTAGCTCGGTCTTGGGCTTTAGCCGAGCAGCCCCATCTGCGGGCAAGCCCAAAGCTATCTTGGCCCAAACGCGCTCGGCCTTTAGCTTGCCCGGCCTTTTATAAAGATAAAGTTTAAATCACAACAAAACAATATATATTTTAATGTATTATAAATAAATAATTAATTAATTTAATAATGGGCGCGATGGAGTTGAAAATACAAATCTCAAGCCTAACTCATTAATATTTCGGGGTTAAAAATGTTAACATAAATTTCAGAACATAAACCTTACACTTTGGATCATTTACCATGTGTATTATCAAGAAATCAAGACAAAATGACATACCTGAATCCATTGATGAACGGTTAAACGGAAGCGTCTGATTGTCAATAAAACCTTAATATTGACTTTGTTAGAGCCCACTTTCAAATTGTTTTATGAATTTCCAAAAATTGTCACACAAAAATGAAAACGACATAAGAATCATGGGTATTTTTTAACCATGTCCTTGAAATTGAGAAGGCGAAAAACCTGTGAATAGCTTCCCAACAAAGTAACAGTAGGATCAGCAGAAACTAAAGCTCGCTCGCATAGCTTAATAGAGCTATGTAGTTCCTTCAAATGACCATACTTGGGTTGCCTAATCAAGCCTATCCATTTCGCACGATAAAATAATTTAGCTCTTTTTTTTTTGAAAATCTTTCAAAACAGAAAAAAAAAAAAAAAAAAAGTTTAAATTCAACCAAACATGGTCTTAATCTTTGGCATTGTGGAAGACTATGGCATTGGTTGATACAATAATTGCATTCTGCAATTCCTACCAATTAAACACATTGTCAAACATATTCATTGATGATTATTATGATAAGAAATCTTTGAAGACCTTCGAGAGAAGATTTAAAATTTAAAAAAAAAATGTCAAAAAACTCAATCAGATCGGATCAACAAAATTACATTGCTAATCAATTGAAGACAGAGAACAACATGCATGACAAATATCAATTGAAGAGAGAGAGAACATACAAAGAAACAAGCTGTTGATCAGGAGTTTCAATTAACTGATCCATCTCATATGCTGGCAGAGCTGTCAATGGTGTGTAAGCTAGCGTTCCACATCTCTGTAAAGTATTAGGTTTTGGATTGTTCTAATGGCTATCCATCACTAATAAGTGTGAATTCCTATTTTGGTCTTTTCTTTCTACAACATAACCAGTTAAGATTGCCAGTGTTTGGATGATTGTGAGTAGTCCCAATAAGCAATGAAATATGGATGTGGGAATTGATATAATGTTGACACAATGACAAGGTTTAACTGATTGGAAAGCTGATTACAATTTTGATTCTCATCCCACATGAGGCTAAACATGGTACTATACATGAAGTTAACTTCTGAAATTTCATGTCATGAAAAAAGAACCTTAACTTCCCATTTTGAGCATGCAACCCATATTGGGATTTGGGCAGATAGTCTCATAGCAGTATTTATTACTTGAAATCCAAAGCCATTAGTTGGAATATGCCATGTCTAATATTAGGTTAAGTTTGGTAATCTTTTTAAGTTCTTTATACTAATATTGCATTTGTCCATGTCTTTGGAATCTTAAACAGATTATTGCAGCAGGTCCTTTTACCACAACTGACAACTTGTTCTTTGAACCTCTAACTGAGCTGCTAGCATATGCACAAAGAAAGCAGCCTCAGTTGCTTTTATTGGTAAGACCCACCATTTTTCATATCAATAATCTTGTAAATTGTAATCTGCATTGATAAATGACTCGAGAAGTTGGATTTTTTATGTTTGGCAGCTGGGACCATTTATTGATTCTGAACATCCAGAGATTAAGAAAGGAGCAGTAAACAGGACCTTTGACGAAATATTTCGTCTTGAAATCCTTGGAAGGGTATCTATCTATCTACACTAGATAATTTTGCCTGTTTGAGAAGATTTTATGAAAAATGGTGGGTCTTACCAATAAAAGCAACTGAGGCTGCTTTCTTTGTGCATATGCTAGCAGCTCAGTTAGAGGTTCAAAGAACAAGTTGTCAGTTGTGGTAAAAGGACCTGCTGCAATAATCTATTTAAGATTCCAAAGACATGGACAAATGCAATATTAGTATAAAGAGCTTAAAAAGATTACCAAACTTAACCTAATATTAGACATAGCATATTCCAACTAATGGCTTTGGATTTCAAGTAATAAATACAGCTATGAGACTATCTGCCCAAATACTTGTTGAATCACTACATGCGGTAGTTTAAGGTCTATATGCTTATAACTGAAGCACTAGCTGAATCAGGGCTTCCCCTGTAGTTAAGCTCCACGAAGAAACCCGCTCCTTCGCCCCTAGCCAGTCTTCCCGGATTAACACAAATGCACTTCGCTTGCTCTTCCCCGTCATTTTTATCCCCAATTGACAACACCTGTCCGCATAGGAGATGAAGAGTTAAATTTCATTCATACAATCCAATCTGCTCTAAGCTAGATAAGAAAGAAAACTGGTTTGCAAACAGAATTTATGTACAAAAAAGTCCACTAGAATGGCGTGTCAATGGCAGTTTTGAAATAACAAGTCACTTTCATGAGTCTTTTGATTTGAAATGAATGAATATCATTTTGACACATCATTTTGTATAACTATTCTATTTCGTATATCCATCATTACTTTGATATAACTAGAACTATCATTTACCTTCACGAAATGAGCCAAGTCAGAGGATAGGATTAGGATATCTAGATTACAAGGGATCTGAAGAGCCTCTGGAGCGAGAGAAAAATCCACGGGAGTATCTTCCATTGGTGGGTATAGAGGATAGAAGCTGTTTTCAAAAAGTAACCGTCTTTTCAATTGTTTAAACTTCTTTAATATCAAATACAGAAATTTCCATTAAGAGAATAATAAAAACATGCCTGTGCTGGCTAAGTAGATGATTTGCAAGTCTATTCATGCGCTGCTTGGATCCCCCAGATGGATTATGTTATATAATCTGCAGCAATTCCAATTATATATATACATATATAAATAGAATTGACGGGTCAAAAAAAAAACTGCCCACCGAATCATTTTACAATTCCAGAAAACAGATTGCCATTTTCACAGAACAAAACAGGAAAAAATAGAATTTACATCCATAAGAAAATTTAGAATCTGATTCCAGGAAACTGAATAGAATGAATAAAGCATATCAATTCTGATAAGACACATGATATGCATGCTCTGATACCAATTGTAAACATAAATTTCAGAACTTATACAACTAGTATCTACACATTAGGTCCATAACACATATACCCTTAAGCCTATTAACTAAATTGAATCACTTAAATTGTAGGCTTCTTATAAATGATAACACCACATTTAATTATGTGGTCTCATTGAGACATTATCTAACAAAAAATGTTAGCCTAACCCAATCTTATGGACTAAAATAATATTTTTAAGTCCTAAATAAATATGAATGGACCGATGTCCACCCATCCTATTTTCTAATGAGTGTCAAAGAGGATGGTATTTGGTTGTAAGGTGGAAATTATCTAATATAATGTAAGTAAATATATGAGTATTTAATTGTATGATTTAAATTAGTCAACTTATAAAATGATCTTTATGTCTATTAGATTAGGTTTTCACCATTAATTTGAATAATTTACCTTTAATTAAACTATAAAAACTGAAATAAATGAAAAAAAAGCAAAGAAAAATCGCATTTGTTTTTTATAGCACAGGTGGAATAGGGGAAGGCAAAGCACACATCAGCTATAAAGGTGAACCAATTATGAAGGCAAGGTTCCATCCGTGGCAGGAATCTACAGGTGAAAAGTAGCTGAATTTCTTTGGAGCACACCCAAAATAAACCTACCTTTTTTTCCATTCACTTTTTTCCTTTTCTTTTTGTTCTGTTTGTGTATCAATTTAAAATTTGACTGTAGTACCAAAAAAAAAAAATAAATAAATAAAAAATACATAGCATGTCAACACACGCAACAATAACAAACTAATCATTTTGGTAGGACCAACTATAACCCAAATTAAGATACAAAGGGGCTGTTTGGGATGTGGATTGGGCGGTTATTATAGTTTAAAAAAATTTTTTAGCTAAAAAGTCACTTTTGCAAGTTTTTAAAAATAATAATAATAATAATAGGACTGCACAGCGGCAGTGTAGGCTGTGCCTACACTGTCAGCTATAAAATTTGTTCCATTAATGGTAAATTACGGTTTTATCCCTTGACAACAATTTAAAAAAATATATATTTAGGGGCAAATTTGTCATTCTAATTTCAAACATCATTTTAACACATTTTTCAATACAACAACTCAAATAAAATTCATCTCAACTTCCCAAACACAAAAACTAAAGTAGCTTACTAAAATAGCCAAAAAGCCAAATAGCCTACTAAAATAGCCACTTCCCAAACGAGGCCTAGCCCAGTGGTTAGTCTCGTGTCTCTCTTTTGGAGGGATTAAGGGTTTGAAACTCAGTATTGCAGATTAAATTTTAATTAATTAGGCCTAACTTATTTGGTCATCAGGTATTCTTTAGAATTTAGAGAAGTCATAGGTTTAATTTCTTTTATGTTATGTTTAGTTGAGAGATTTGAGGAGGAATTTAAAAAAGGAAATAGAAAAGGTAGGTGAAATGTGAATAAAACATGTTTATATTTTTTTTTAGTTTCATACATCTTTTCCCTTTTTCTTTCCAAATTCTTCCCCAAATCCTCCAACCAAACACAATATTAGAAGAGTTAAATTAAGAAAGTACAAGCATTTAGGTACTTTGCCAAGGCGATGAGATTTTTTTCCTATAAGTGCTAATCTAACAACTAACAACTAACATTTGCAGATTAAGAAAAAAAAAAAAAAAAAAACTATAACCCAAAAATCCACTCCAACTCCCAAAATCTTAGTTCTATCGACTCATTTTCTATTATTGTGACCTATTACAAAAATACTAGAGGCCCCAAAAATTCTACCAAAAGTTTTACCAAATGTCTTACATGGGTGTGGGACCCACATGGGACCCACATTGTGTGGTCCCACACCCATGTAAGACATTTGGTAAAACTTTTAGTAGAATATTTGGGATATCTAGCATTGCTCTTTCTATTATTGTGACCCATTTTGGCTGCTTCTACATAGCTTTATATATAGCTAAACTTATACCTTCAAGTTGCAATTATTTTTTCCTATCGTGGATCGAGCTTTTCGATGTTACTCCAAATTTAAATTTAAGACTTTGATTTCAAGAGAGTTTTGAAGCATAAAATATAGATTGATAGTAAGTATATAAGCAATTTTTTTTTAAAAAAATAATATAAAAGAAAATTTTATTAAATGACAGAAATTACAAATAGCAAACAAAACAAGCTAGAGAGAAAACAGCTGCACCATTACCTACGTGAGGTATCTTATCTAAGTTGACATCCCTAAGTATAAATTATAAGATTGACGTCCAAAATGCGAAAAATGAAATTAAAATAAAAAGGAACTCAACATGAAGACAAGATCAGAGAAACTTTAGTCTGGCATCGAGTACTATACTAAACCAAGCTAATTACATTCAAGCAACCACATCCAAATAGATCACATTATAACACAAATATTTTATTTAGGACTAATTATGCTTTTCACTCATGTAATTTGACTCAAATTTTACTTTACTCCCTATAGTTTTAATTTGATTAATTTGGTCCTTACACTTTAAGTCTAGTTTTAATTTGGTCAATCCGACTAAATTTTTGTTAATTTCGTTTACGTGTACACTTTAATAAATTGACAAATATCTTAAAACTACTCATTTTAACCTCTAATTTAGATGGAATAATCAAACTAAAACTTTTCAAAATTGATAAGTGTCTCAAAATTATTAATTTTAACCTCCAAGTTAAACAGAATAACCAAATTAAAAATAGACTTAAAATGTAGGAACCAAATTATTCAAATTAAAATTATTTTCTTGATAACTCGGTATTCGGTCTATTAAATTGACTAATTTGGGAGATTAATCCTACGATCCACTTGCGGGTTCCTTTTAAAGTCAGGGCAAAACCCGCATAAACTAGTCCAAAAAAATTGTTTGTACCTATTTATTTATTATTTATTTTTTACATAATCACCCACCATATAATAATGGGAAACATTATGGTGCACACCCTTATGCATCTTATAATTAAAAAAAAATAGTATAACTTCAATTTTTTTGAGTCATGACTAAAAACAAGGAAAAAAATATCATAACTAAACACAATATGAGACATAACTAAAAAATATATGAATCATATCTAAAATAATATCATAATTAAAAAATAAAATAATATAATTAAAAAAATATGTATAATACACCCTTTTAAAAAGAATGTATACTAAAATTTTCCCATAATGACATGACGATGAGTCCCTTTATAAAAGGAAAATGTCTCGTAACTCAAATTTTGTAGCATTGTCGTTTGTAAAATGCTTCTGGGTGGATTTTAAGTTGTAAAAGTGAAATGGCACGCAACTCAAATCAACACTTCTATCTTTTTTTTTTTTTAGGTAGGTTCAGAATATTACATGTTTGTATTCGTTCATTAATTTTTATTCATCATGTTCTTTTGTATTTTTAAATCACATAATACAAAATTATGATACCATACATTCTTATTTTATATATGAAATTTCTAATTGGCCACAGTCCAGCCTAGCTTAGCAAAAGGGGCAGTGCTACATGGTTTGGTATGCTTAAGGGGCGTTTGGGAGGTTGAGTTTAGGCTAAAATAGTTAATAAAGATAAAAAAAAAAAAAATTTAAATAGTTAATGAGATAAAATGTCATATATTACTCATCAATCAATCAATCATTTTTTCTTTCACAATCATCAATTCAACTACAAAAATATCCACAAATCATCTCAATAAAATAGTAAAAAACCAAAAAACCAACTAAAATAACCAAGTTACTAAACAAGCCCTTCAAATCATTGGGTGTTGTTGCATGTTTTCAACTTCTATATTCTCACTATGAGTAATGTGTGTTTGTTTCTGCCTTCGTATGCATGCATACGTATATATGTTTAGATTCATAGCTCCATTCCAACCACAATGAGTACTTGTTTTGGTAGGTCTGTTCAGTAACAATTTGCAGGTTCTAATTAAATGAAAATCATTAAATAGTTTCATAATGGCGCTGTTTGGGAAGTGGCTAAAGAGGCTATTATAGTCTAAAATGAAAATTTAGCAAAAAAACCCATTGTTGAAAGTTTTTTCAAAAAAAAAAAAAATAGACAGCACAGTTGGCAGTGTAGGCACAGCCTACACTGTCAGCTACAGAAATTGTTCCATCAATTAGTAAATTACGAGTTTATCCATTGACATCAATTTAAAAAAAATATATTTTTAGGGACAAATTTGTTATTTTAATTTCAAATATCATTTCAACACATTTTTCAATACAACAACTCAAATAAAATCCATCTCATCTTTCCAAACACAAAAACTAAAATAACCTACTAAAATAGCCAAAAAGTCAAATAGCCTACTAAAATAGCCACTTCCCAAACGAGGCCAATATGATACTCACGAGGCTATAAGGCTGTGGAGCTTTCATTTAAATCAATCTTAATTTATGAGGTGATGCTACTCATTAGGGCTGAGCAAGGAATCCGTGAAATCCGTAATCCGATCCAGTCCAGTCCAATCCGATAGGTTTGGATTGATTTTTTGAATCCTGTTGTTGCATGTTTTCAACTTCTATATTCTCACTATGAGTAATGTGTGTTTGTTTCTGCCTTCGTATGCATGCATACGTATATATGTTTAGATTCATAGCTCCATTCCAACCACAATGAGTACTTGTTTTGGTAGGTCTGTTCAGTAACAATTTGCAGGTTCTAATTAAATGAAAATCATTAAATAGTTTCATAATGGCGCTGTTTGGGAAGTGGCTAAAGAGGCTATTATAGTCTAAAATGAAAATTTAGCCAAAAAGCCCATTGTTGA